TGTTTCCCTAGGAAAACGCCACGAACGAGGAGATCCTGCTCTCGCTGGAGCACGTGCGGCCCGGCAACGGGTACAAGCCCAATTTCATCATGTTCGAGAAGTGCGAGGTGAACGGGAAGAACGCGCACCCCCTCTTCACCTTCCTGAAAGAGGCGCTGCCCTTCCCGCACGACGACCCCTCCTCGCTGATGACCAACCCGCAGTACATCATCTGGTCCCCGGTCTGCCGCAACGACATCTCCTGGAACTTCGAGAAGTTCCTCATCGGCCCCGACGGCGTGCCCTTCAAGCGCTACAGCCGTCACTTCGAAACCATCAAGATCCAGGAGGATATCGAATTCCTTCTGCAGAAGGTTCCCAAGAATGTTCTCGGGTAAAGCAGAGCGCTGCAGCATTCGCTGCCTGGGCCCCTCGCTTCCTGCTCAGCTCGCCGCGCTCCTGCCTGTTTTTCTTGCAGTGGGCTGCTGCTGCTCTGGCAGAAATCCCAACATCTCGTGCAGGTTTTGCTTATGATGGTGCATCTTCCAAATTCTTGAAGTGTACTTGATATTTTCAAAAGTTGCATGCAAATGTTTGGGAAACTATGCTGGGGAAAGCAGCTGTGAGTCTCAGTAGCTTACTGTGATTCTCTGAATAAAAAAAAAAAAAGCGCGTACTTTCTTTAAGGCTGTGGCTTGTTAAATCTGGGAGTTGGGTGAAACACGGCGGCCATGTTACCCGTTTACCAGCTCGTGTGGGTGCTCGCAGGGGCTGACTCAAACCATTCGAGCATGATAGCGCAGTCAGGCTGAAATCTGAATGCAAAACCTAGGGCAGCGTGACGGGTAAACAGTGTTTGCGAGCTCTGCAAACTGTGAGTCAGTGCTGCGTCCTACCCCGCGCGTAACGAGCTTGGCAGAGCGGGAGGGCAGCACGGAACAGAAATGCCTCGCCACACTGCCTACTGGACCTCACTCGAGCCTTGCCTGCAAAGGAACGACACAGGGGCACACGGCCAGGGAGTGATTTTACACTGGTTGACAAACTCCTACCTTGGCTACCAACAACAGGCCACGACGGGTTAATAACCAACCGTTCAGGCAGGTAGATGAGGGATTCTGCAGCCTGCGCTGCTGTGGCTGCGCTGGCAGAGGGCTTGGGGAAGAAGAGCCTGTCAGCCAAGGCCCATCTCGTTACCCAGCCTCCGTCAGCGGATGCCCAGGGGAGACCTAGAACAGAAGCAGCACCCGCCATCCCTCCCCTTGCCCCAGAGCTGCTGCCCCCTCGCTGGCTCAGCTGTCTCCTGGCTCTATCCCATTTTGCATCCGTGGTAGCCCAACACGGATCTCTACATACCTGCCCAGTCCTACATGAAACCTGTATTGCCTTCGTGCATCCCCAATGCCTTGCAACACAGGGAATTGCACAAAGAACCAGTTCTTTCGTGTTCCCGGTGCAGAATATCAGCCTATTCAACCACTTCTCCCACGGACACTGTGCCTGACCTCAGTGTCCTTGTTGCCCTTTGGACACAGGAATTGCACATGACAAAGTGCAGGTACGCCACGGTTTGGGCAATATTTTCCTCTTTTTACTCCTTCCCTAACACTTTTTTGACTCCTGCCAACCATGGAGCTGTTACAACCACCCTAACATGTTCCTGTGTGGTGATCCTGGGTTTCAGCCTGCGGCCGAACAGCTGGAATTAGGATTGGTTTCCCCTAGGAGTTTTCCCCGTGAGCCTGTGCCAAATTTCACCCGCTATCCTTCTGCCCAGTGGCTCAGGTCCTTCTGCAGGTAACTTTTCAACCCTTAAATGGCTCTGTGAGCACATTTTCATGCCAAGCCACTCCTCACAAGACCTTGTAGCACTGAGTATAAACTTGGTGCCGACTGAGGAGTACACAAACTAGAAACTTGGGCTTTTGAAGGGAAGGCATAACACTTTCAAGCATTAGTGCACTGTTTTCATAATTAAAAACACTTAGGATTTGAGTTTTGGTTTGTTTTTATTTTTTTTTCCTGTTTGTAGCTTCTCAGCTCACCAATTTGCTGGTTGCTTTGTTACTGTACCTACACTCAAACCTGACTTGAGACAGGGGGGCAAAACCTACAGCCAGCTCCACCCTGCTTGCTGCTACCCCTGAGTCATCGAGCTTTGAACTCAGATTGCACAATCCTCAACGGGCTATTTCTTAACTTCCAGTACAGTTTTGTGAAAAAAACAGGATGTTTTCAGTAGCTACTTCAGCTTTGGAGCAGAAGCTGCTTGATTTGGGGGATTATTTTCTCAGTTAAATCTACTTCGCTCATTAAGGCAGGATGTTGAAATAGTGGAGAGTACAGGGGATCATGGGCAGCAGGAACTCATCGCATTGAAAAATCTTTCTTCACACGAGCTGTGGCACTTCCTCAACCCTGAATCACCAAACTCGAGCCATTTGAGCAGGACCTCCTTTGCTTTGCCTGTTCCGTATCAGCCTGCAGCCCCTGCTGAGACCCACCGCTGTGGGGGAACAGACCGCAACACCTGCTGCTGTTCCAACCGCAGCCCTGCCAAAAAGGGTCTCTCGCTGAGCCTGCTGGTCAGAAAGGCATCTTACACCGTGCTTAATCAGTGCTAATGGCCAAGGGATTTATTTACCTTCCGGCTGCTGGGCCTCTGCTAGCAGAAAAACAAAGCAGCAGCTCCAGAACAGATACAGCCACGCCAGCAGAAGTACAATGATGTGATTCCAGGATGAAAAGTAGCCATGCCAGCAGGAAAACAAATGATCCCAGTGTAAGCACACTAGCAGGAACTCTGCAGCATAGATAAAAGCCTCCCAGCCTTGTTATTCACCGTCTCGTTTCAGCATTCCCCAGAGTAGCTGGCTTCTGGGGTAAAGCGGGCTGCAGTGGAAAGGGCAGCCTGCGGGCTGGAAACCTTGGAACACCTGCAGAAGAGCACAGCCACCACACAGGCTCTCGCACCTAAACGTTATTTGGTGCTGTGACTGGAGGGGAAGAAGATGTTTCACTACAGGCAGCAACTCTGTGCTGAGGGTAAGACCTGAAGAATCCCAGGTGATTCCTCAGGGATTACAAAATGGCCCAGTTCTATTTCTGTAATTCCAGAGACTGACTCAGTAGGAAACCTTAAAATAAATACTACTACTTTTGCACAGTTGGATGCTCCTGTGGTTTGAGGACGTTGTCCTTTCAACAGCCTGTGTCTGTCACATCTACACTCCTACACTCTTTCATTTTTTTTTTTTTCCTTTTTTTGCAATGGTTGATATCCTAGCTATCCTATGCATCTTTTTCTTCTACATTTTTGTGCAAACAGCTAATCCCTCTGTTAGGGTTCACCCTGCTTTTCCATTCTTCCACGTATCAATCCCATATATTCCCCCCCTTTCTAGAGAATGTTTGCCTCCACTTCTCCTCCCTCCTAGTGATTCCCTCCCCCTTTAGCTGCTGATAGTTGCCATCAACTTCTTCTTAAATCTTTAAACAAGTTCACATATTGGAAGCAGTCAGGAATGTAAACCAGCCGCAAGGAAAAGTATCCTTCCCACTCCTATCTCCCTCTCCCAGGTTCCCTGGTGTTCTGCCCATCAAACCCTAGCACATATCCTGAAATCATGGCTGATGAGATGTATTCAGAAGTGTCTACTGAACAGAAATGCTGTCAAGTGGAGCCTAAGACCTTTCTTAGCCTGTTAAATGTTCTTTCAGCTATTTAAAATCCCTTTCTCCTCCTGCTGAGCTTTGTTGCACCCGCTAACTTTTAAGACAGCTTTCAGTCACTGTTTTTGATCATTGCCATCGTAAGGCAAGTAGGAAACACCTGCCTGCAACCGGGTGGCACTGGAAAGGGCTCTGTTCCTGTCAGTGCCACTCTCACAGCCACCAGGTTCAGCTGGAGACAAGGGCAGGAAGCCAAACGGCTGAAAGGAAAGCCCTTGAAGAGACAGGAGAACACAGACACCCCTATCTACAGTGAAACTGTAATAATGTCATTTCCTAGTACTGACTCAGAAAGCTTTGAATGAGACCATTTTAATTGTTTACTGCACTTTCTATTAGGAGTAAGTAATTCATTAGCAGAGTGAGGTCAGCCATAGCCATGTAAGCATTATCTCAGAATAGCTGACTCATTTTAAAAACACACCCAGTCTTGCCAAAACAGGGTGTATTAGTATCTCAAAGCCCAAAGGGGCCCTGCCCTTTGAGAAAAACAGGACTAAGTAACAGGACTCAACTCTTGCTGGAAGGAGAAAATGGTTGTCTTTTTCAGTGTTAACTGGGTGGACTTGCCCTGCTGTCAAAAAAAAATAAAAGGCCTTTAGCATTTTACCCAGGAATGCTGCAGCGTTGCCAGTCCTGGCTGGCAGGAGGTAGAGCCCATCTGCCCTCCATGCTGCCGGACATCGGCTGCCAGGAGAGCGCTCCCCTGCAGAGAGTCACAGCCCCAGGACACCACCCCCTGCCTTTTTTCCTGTGAGGTAAACGGGTTTCTTTGGTGTATCAGTTTAAAGCAGGTTTTTAAGTCTCTGAATCATCACCTGAATCCTTCCCCATTTTCCCACTTCTCAAGCACAGGCTCCCTAAACAGCACAGGATATGCTTACTCGAGAGAGAAATACCTAAATCATTTCCTGAGAGGTTCTTTCCACAGACACTTTCAAACTCCTGAGCGCTCCCCAGCTGGTTACTCAGACCCGTTCTCCGGTTTATTCCCCTAACAATTTGAAGTCCCCTTCCCTAGCCAACGCCCTGACCGGAGCACTCCATGAAGTCAGTTATGGGAGAAAACGGAGCACGTAACGCTGAAACTATAGAGTCCACACCAAACATTTCTGCTACCTGCTTTGCAAGAGGCTGCCCAGGGGGACCCTCCTGGCCACGGCGCCACCTCGGGGACGAGGCCCACCCCCCACAGGGGTGAGGCCTCCCGCGCCCCGATGCCTCCAGCCTTGCTCCGAGACCTCCC